TTTGTATGTCATGAACAAGTTTGAAAAAGACTCATTGTAATACTGATTTGTAGATATTTAAAGTGAGCGAAGCCCGAGTTCTAAGTATTGTAAGCATTGTAACTTACTGTCATATTCTGATTTCATATGAAAATTTTAATTCCTACTCACTTTTCTGTGACACACAACAAGGATCTTACATTTTAAAATGTTTAAATAATTTTCAAAAATGTTATAATTATTGTCTGGATTTTCATATTGCGACTTTTGCGTGAAATTTCTAGGAGCGTATTTGGCTCAGTGCATTCACAAATGACTTTCTTGCAGATGGCAAACTTGAAAATTTGGAATTATCTGTATTTCAGCGTGAATGACTCAAAGTAAATTGTGCTTCATCTAAGTCATCATAGTGAATAATGTCAGTCTTATTTGTATTAAATAAATGGTTTAAACAATCAAGGTGATTGATGAAGAAAGTATGTGCATCCTTGTGTTTGGAATCTAGTGCAACCTGCTTTATTGGCAATAACCTAAAGCAAATGATTTCTGTAGTTGCTGACCAGACCTGTGCAGAACTTAAAAGATAGTTTGACACATCCCGCTATAAAACACTATTCAGTCCATGCATATTTTTGGGATGTCTTGCTTGAGCTATTTTAGATTACATCATATTTTTTAAAATGTAATTGAGGTCAAGACTCTTACTTGGCCATTCAAGATTTTTCTGTCTGAGCTGCTCTGTTGTTGATTTACTCCTGTGTTTCGGATCACTGTCATGCCCTATGACACAGCTTCTTTTGTGTTTTAGCTCACAAACACATGTCCTAGCATTTCTTGATACATCTCGTAATCCATTGGGCCCTAAATGGTTCCAAGTCATCCAGGCCCAGAGGCAGAAAAGGAATCCCCCCCCCCAACATTATACACCCACTACCCTGCCCCACAGCTGGGATGAGGTTTTGGTGTTGGTCAAAAGCATGAATGGCCAATCTTATCCAGAATGGGCCGTTGTGTATGTGAGTTTTTGCTGCAGCTCACTAATTAGATTACTAGTTAGAGGACCGATTGGCTGCAGAGTCCTCACACTTGGATTCGCTGAACAGCTATCCTAAAGGTTATCCCAAAAACCTCCATACATACTGGCTTTTTGTGGGTCTAAAGTGTTTTGTTTTCCATAAACATAATGCTGTGTACATTTGCAAAAAAAAGGTTAAACTTTTTGACAGAATATGTCCAATGTGACACATCAAGTTTTTTTGTCACGTGTGTTCAGGGAATACAGTGAAAATTTCTGCCACAGTTGTGAGGGTGGGTGGGGTGGAGTTTGGAGGTGGAGGGAACAAACAGCTGTGCAATATAGGACAAGGCAATGCAATAAATATAAGATTAAGTAGATGCAATAATAAATAATAAATTACCAATGAGATATGGAGATGAGGTATAGTGCTAATGTGCTATTTGACAACAATGCAATAGTGTTCACTTCAGGTAGTACATTAACAGTGTGGTACTGTGCAATACAGTTCTTATGGGACAGAATGGTATTGATCACTGGTTGTTTAGCAACCTGTGCAAAGAAACTGTCTCTGAAACAAATGGTGAAACTGGTGATGCACAGTTAGTGCTTCCCAGAGGGTTGGAGAGTGAAGATGGCGTGAGCCAATGGCTTGAATCCATAATGATGGACTCGGCCCACTTCTGGCAGCGGGAGAAGTAGGTTGATTAGAGCTGAGGAAGATCTGTTCCAATGATCTTCAAAGCTGTTTGGACAGTCCATTGTAGCAGTTTGAAGCCCTGAGCGGTTAATGTTATCCAACCACACAGTAATGTATGCAGTCAGAATGACCTCAGTGGGGCGACTGTAGAACTTCACCCGGGTTTTGGTTCCTAACCTAAAGCTCTTTAGCCTCCTCAGGAAGAACAGCTTCTGCTGAGCATGCTTAAGAATGCAGATGGTGTTTCGACACCATGAGAGGGAGTCAGTGACCTGGATGCCCGGGAACCTCAAGCTGCTGACTGTCTCAGTAGGAATTCCATCAGTGAGTATTGGGGAGTGAAGACCTCTGATCCTCCTGAAGTCTTTGATGATCTCCTTTGTCTTGTTGATGTTCAGGGAAAGGTTGTTGTTGTGGTTCTATACAGTCAGGGTTTTTACCTCCCTCCTGTAGGTAGCCTTTACATCATCGCTAATGTGACCAGTTACAGTAGAGTCATCTACAAACTTGGCAATGCTGTTGTTTGTGACTGTACAGCAGTGTACCAAGGCAGCAGCCTTTCGGAACGCGAGTGCTGATGATCAGGGTGGATGATCTCCTGTTGCCAGTTGTCACCATCTGGGGTCTGTGTGTTAGAAAGTCAAACACCCAGTCACAAATGGAGCTGTACAGTTCGGGGGCCAATTAGCATTAGCACCAGGCTAGATGGTACCATTGTGTTAAAAACTAAGGTGTGGTCGATGAACAGCATCCTGACATAGGTGATCTTTTCTAGATGTAATGTGCAGGGTAATGCAATGTATCGGGTGAGGGAGATGGCATCATCCATAGATCTGTTTCAATGGAATGCAAACTGGAGTAGGTACAGGGTTGCAAGAATGTTGCGGTTAATGTGCGACATGACCAGTTTTTCCAGACACTTCATGACTACGGATGTTAACATGATGGGACTGTAGTCATTTATGCACGAATGTCTGGTTGGTTTTTAATAAAGGCAGCAGTGTTTTTGGCTTATATATGCAACACTACTGTTCAGTATTTTTCTTTTGGCAAACTCATGATCACAGACATAATCAAGTACAACAAAAATCTCTGCTAATTCTTATCTTTCACCAAAGGGCCCTTTTGTGACTTTTGTGATGAGTGAGCAGTGTGCAGGAAGCTGACTGTAGCGAGACTAGCTACAGTGCTGAATTTCTTCCATCTTCTGGACTGTGGGCTTTCAGTGGCCTGGGTCTTTCTATAAATTCATTTGTGACCCTTTCAAGCTTATGAGCTTCAACAGCTCTTCTAATGAGACACTGAAATAATCTCTTTTGATTGGGCCATATTGCATTTGAGTAGAATTGTGTTGTGAAGATCAGGTAACCAAAAGTTTGTGTATGTGGGTTTTATATATATTTATATATATATATGAATGTCCCCACAACGTACTAAAAAACCTGCTATATTGACATTGTAGGTTCTATTTTTCTCAGTCCCCAAAAGGGGAAACTTAATTTTATAATAATTAAATCAAATAAAAAAACTGAAAATGTCAGAAGTCGTATTTTTTTGTTACTTATGATTAAAGTTAGGGTTGGGTAGGGATCAATGACCTTGATTGTTTAAAACAATTGCTCAATAATGATGTGCCAGTATGAAATGTAAATATCCAGATAATTCCCAAGTGTCCACATCTTTTTCTCAGAACGGTGTGTGTGTTTGTGTGAACATTATTTACTGAATATATTCCTGGTATCTTACTCAAGGGTAGGACGGCACTGCCAAGGCTGCGCATAAAATTGTGACTGTTTATTTACATGTATAGGCCTTTTACAAAAAAAAAAGATATCTTGATATTTCTCATTTTGTAAATGGTTAAAGCACTAATTGGTTCGATCAATGTACAAAATGAAATGGGATGTAGTTGTGATTTAATGAAATTTCACTCTTCTAATTTATCGACGTGTCTTCAGTAATCAGTGTGCGCTGTTTAATTCCAGTTGTCAATAGAGGCCACTGTTGCATTCAGATTGCGCTTTAGGAAGCAGAAAGTCACACAACTTTCAGGGGCCACCCAATTTCCAGACTTTAACGCCAATAGATAATTTATGGAAAGAGTCAAATGGTATATACTAACCTACCTACGGAATATTTCTGCGATACATTTCCAACTGCATTTAATCAAAGTTAAGTGGGAGGTGACTAACATTTGTAGCATCATCCGTGTTGTCATGCCATCTCTGTTGAAACAACTGAACGCTAACCCGTCCTAAAATTTATTAAAATATACTGTGTATTTCATGATCTCTTAATTTTTTTTGTTTTCTAATAATGAGCCATTGTTAGTATATTACAGTTTTTCTTAGGCATAACTGTCTATTTATATTAATACAAAAAAGTTCGCCGTGGAGTATAATTTTAAATAACTGATAATAATCCCACTTGTAAAACAAAGTTGAAAGGCCCTGCTACACAAAACCACGTTTTTCATCAATTATAGGCTTAGTTTAATTGTACCTTTAGAAAATCGTAACACTCTTTGAAACAGGTCTGGCTACACATAAGGCGCGGCACATATATAGTCGTACCACGCTTTTGCCTCAGACTAAATTTTAGTTGCTGGAATCAACATTCATTGGACCAGGTTAGAAAATGCTGCATTCCGATTGGGTAGTCGAGCTGTCATTGAACGACTGCTGCCAATACATTTCTTCAGTGACCTACTAACACAGATCCTTAAAGCAGCAGTCATTCCAGGAGGAAAAAGGCAGAGGGAAGCGTCAGCTTTTAGTGCAATTGAATTTCACAACCAATTAAACTTCTTTCTCGCTATAACGGCCACACCACATTTTGCCATAACACAATGCAACGGGCACCTTCAGTAGCAGCAGCGAGCTGATGTTTGCTCAAGGTAATATGCCTAATTTGGTTGTATGTCTAGTCACTGTGTTTCGGGGGATTGTCTATTTTTGAATGGGACTGAGATTGTCTTTATAGTCAGCGCAGCAGCAGTGAAACTTAAAATCTGATTTTGGTTTACCTAAGTTAAGGATGGCACGCATCACGCATACACATATATGTATTTGTGTATGTGATGTATATGTGTTTGTGTGTGTGTGTATATATATATATATATATATATATATATGTGTGTGTGTGTGTGTGTGTGTGTGTGTGTGTATATATATATATATATATATATATATATATATATATATAATTACTTGTGTTTCTTGTATGGTTATATACTTAGAATCCAGTAAGATTTTTGTTACAGCTTTTCTGTAAATACACAGTTGATGTTAGTTAGCTTGCTTTACTGTTTTTAGGGCATGGGATATTTCCAGATTGTAAACATCATTCATTGTGCCGATCTAGCTAGCTTAGATTGCTCATTATGGCACAGTGACCCAGAAATAGACGTGATCCGAGTTTGGGTGGGTGTCTCAATGTCGTTTTGACTTTTCCTCTGGACGTGATATGAAAGTGAGGATATTCGGGGAAATCGCCAGCTATTTCCACGTTCCCTTTTTTTTACACACGCTGAGTGTGCTCCACTGTTAGCTGATTAGCTGAGCTATAGGAATTTTACTTTGGTGGTGAAACGTGGTCATATGATGTAACTCCACACCGCCGTATATTTAATAGATTAATTACCAAAACGTCTTACGTGTTTGAAGAAGGTACGTGTTTGGAGAGAAAAAAGAATGTCCATTACAGTAAATATTGCATAACATCCGCAGTCACAGAATTTGCTGGCAAGCCCAAGGGGGAGGGGGAGCCGATCACGCTTATTTTATAACCCTGACACAATGAAGATATCTGGGGCATGGACATGACGATGTTTATCCAGCCGTGCACGTCCAAGCTCAGCCTCACTTCTCGTCTGTTTGCGCCGACGCCGTTTTGCACCCCAACCAGTGACAAAAACTTTTCCAGCCCGGTTTAAAACTTAAGCATTGCCTTCGTCATAGCACGAGTCTGAAATATATTAAATTTAATATTTTTTTAACTATATATATTTTTTTCTTACATATTGGATGCGTATTAGTATTATATTAGGTTTTACTCTGTTGCAGGAATACATGGGTTTAACTAGGCTGTGTAAAAGAAGAGCAGGTGGGGAAAAAACTAACAAAAAACCCTAAATGAAGAGCCGATGGGAATATTGTGGTTTTCCTTTTGATGGCGTTTTGGCTTTCCTCATTTGAGGCTTGGTGCATAGCCCCGTATTTTCCTTTCATGTTGTTGTTCCTGCTCAAACACGTGTGATGGGGATAGCAGGAGCCGCATTCCTTTGTTCACGGGAGCCTCCTGCCGGCGAACGCCGAGCTGCCAGGCCGGGACCCGGGACCGGAGAGGCCGCCCAGCTGCTCCTTAGTCTTGTCGATGGCACGGAAATTAAGCTGCGCCGCGTTTCCTTATATCAAAACCCGAACCTGGCGCAGTGACGGGCGCGTTTTTTCTTTTTATTGCATCGATTAATATTAAGTTTGATTGGGGATCGTTGGGCAACTTAAATTAACCGGTGCATGAAGTCGAAGGTCGTTTCACAAGCCTAGTATTTTTTCCTTCTTGTTCACCTGGCCGGGATGTTAGCAGAATCAGCATTTTGCCACGTTTTGTTTTCGGTACTAGGATCAATGGGACACAAGGGTGATCGGCCACTGTTTGAGTTTACGTGCTTTCCTTTACTATCTTTTCTGCACCGAAACGCTGGGTATAGTATGCGATTATAGTGAAAAAAAATTTTTAAACCTCTGCTGCTCAATTATGCAATTGAGAAATTTAGAAATAGCCGTATTACGTTCACGGTAAAATATAGGCGTGCCACATATCCTGTAAGCAGCGCTGCTCGCACCCCTGTTTAAAATGTGTGTGGGAATGACGAGCTGAATAATCATATTACAGACGCGTTTATCTAGCTTCTGTCCCCACACGACCTTAATAGCTTTTTTAAAATGATTATATACTTTAGACGGACGGAAACCGAGTGCCAGTGTTCTCTGCCTGAGCATTTACATTTGTATTTTCCAAATACCATATTTTATTGAACTCTCCCCTGTTATTAGTACTGCAGCTGTGTGTGATTATGTAATTATAGTTTTTAGTTGGACGAAGAAAAGAAGAGATACAAATACTTCATAAAAAATATTTCGATTTCTTGCCAAAACATGTTCAGGTGAATCTTGAATGGCTGATTTAGCTCAGAGATGCTAATATCATATTCTCAGATCGCATTAAGATAAAAAATCCTTAAAACAAAAATCAGGATAATCATATAACCCCTATTATGTAATTTTATATATGTGTATATATGCCCATATGCGTACACTATGTAGTGTGTGACAGTGTGATGTACACATATAATAATTTAAAAAGATTTTGAGTAGAATAGTTTTTTATAGATGAAGATCTAATATTACTGATTGGAATCCTGATAAAGTATGCGCGTGTTCTCGTTCTTTTTTGAAGAACCATGCTTTTCATATAAGGTGTATTGACTCACTAAGATCCCAGAAAGAGATGCGATGTTATTTTTTGTATATCTAATTTACCCTTGTTGCCTGTTAAGTTACCCCAATGTGGTGCAAAGCAAAAGAGACACAGGCTTTGTGTCCAAGCAGGGGGCTGTAAGCCCAGCAGAGTAAAAAATTACTGTTGTCAATACTTCTGCTCATATTAAGCAGAGGGAAACGCTGCTAATTAAATGGTCAATGGTGATTTGTCCATCGGCATATACATCCGGGACATGGCAGGGGTTACACGGATTAGTTCTGAGCAGCAAAGTAAAAGGCAGTTGTATGAACGCAAACTCCAGCATGTCTAAAGCTGGGACATAGGCTTCATTATTCTAATGTGCTTAATATTGTTACCGATCGATTACTGTCTAGACAATACGATTCTTACTGCGATATTAAAATAAATGTCACAACAGAAGCTAAGTATTGTGGGAACAAGCCACCAATCATAATGTATGTTTTCAAAATATAAGGAAAAGTGGAATTTTGTATGTTTGGATTAGCTTTTCCAGAAAAAGGATTAACAATCGAAGGAACTTCTTATCCTTTCCACAAGTTACCTGGTTTATTCAGTATTTCTTTTTTTTTTTTTGCTGTTACCAAAGTAGAAATGTTAATTAGGAAATTTATGCATTATGGAGAGTGACATCACCCCTCACAGTTGAGATAAGCTCGCTTAGGTTCCTGGCACAGAAAGCCGGGGCATCTGTACTGAAAACTAATTTTCTCTTTTTGAAAATCGGCCCGATGTCCCGCTGTGTGTGGGAGCTCCACTAATATACCAGTTGCATTTTTATTGCTTGGCAAGTGCCGCAATTCAGGTAACAAACTTCCTAAAATGACGTGGAGACACTGCAGCCATTATCTTTTGCTGGACGCTTCTGGGTGAGGTGTGCTTTACACGTGTGCAGAAAGTGCAGTCCTGTGCTATAGAGCAGATTGGACGTTTACAATTTATGGCATGAAGTCCTAAACATCAATGATTATGTTTATAAAATACATTTTTGTTTGGGAGAAATATGGGCATCCAGACCCTTCTCAAACCTACCTCTGAAAGGGTAGAAGCACATCTTGTTCAGGGTCGGTTTTACAGTCCTTAAGTTTAGGTTTAAAGAATTTGATCTTAATGGGTGTGTGTGGTGTGCCACTGCAGAATCATAGTTCCAATACTTGAAAAGAACAAATATGATATGCTAGTCGCCCACGTAGTTTATCCTTAGAAGCAGAGATATGATGATTATGGACAAGAGTGACTTGATAGGCCTTTGCATTACTGACAACCCGGCATCTTCCCTCTTAGAGGATTTAAAGATCACTGTATGCAATCAATGCAGAGTTTAAGTGTTCCTTAGATGGGGGGGGGGGGGGGTATTTCAGGTCACATTATAATTTTATTAGCTCCTGTCTAAAGGTGAAAAGATTATCTTCTTCTCTGTGGATTTCACAGAAGGCAGCTGAGCATGCCAGTCATAATTTGTTGCTGCTTTTTTTAAATTATGCTTCAAAGACATGCCCGTCTAGTGAAGATTATCTGCCTTTTATTTAACAGCTGAAGCGCTGTTATAGAATTCAATAGCCAGTCAAAATATCTAAATGGAAAAATTACTAGGTTATTTAAAAATTGAAGGATGCAGATAAATCCTTCAAATAATCCAAAATAAATTCTCTGGCTACATATTTATTTTTATCTTTTTAGTTGTAGAGACACGTTTTCAGATAAGAACATATTTCAACTACGGCTTGTTATCCAAACAAGAAGTTATGTGATTTCTAAAATAGATTTTTTTTCCCCCCATTAGATTCTTCAAACTGCAGACAAAGGAGGACCCCCCCCCCTCCACTGGAAATATCAAATCAAATTATTTGAGCCTTTCTGAATGCCTCAAAGGAAGAAATATCTACCATGAGTTGTAATTTGTGATTGTGCTGGACGTTATTTTAATACCTCTTAAAATATGCAAATGGTTAAGAAAGAGTCACCTTCCAGCGGGCCTTATCCCGATGAGGACTCTTTGGTCCTTGCAGTGGCCCTGCAAGGGCAAGACAGTGAGCTGATGGGCCACAAACTGTCCAACGTACCCTTCAAAGCAAAAAGTTCTACCTGCCGCAGGAAAAGGGAGTTCATCCCTGACGAAAAGAAGGACAACATCTACTGGGAACGGAGACGGAAGAACAATGAGGCAGCCAAGCGTTCACGGGAGAAACGGAGGCTCAATGACATGGTTCTGGAAAACAAGCTGATGGCCTTGGGAGAAGAGAATGCCACTCTCAAAGCCGAGCTGCTCTCCCTGAAGCTGAAATTTGGGTTGGTCAGCTCCTCTGCATATGCCCAAGAGGTGCAGAAGATCTCCAGCTCAACCACAGCGCTCTACCAAGACTTCAGTACTACTGGCACTAGTCACAGTGCACTCAACAGAGACCTGGAACCCTCTCACCTGGGCAGCAGCTGCATATCGGTCATTAAGCACCCTCCCCTCAGCGTGCTCTCAGACATCTCTGAGACCTCGCCCTTAACTCACGATGGCCCCCTGGCAAGCCTGTGTAGGACCCCTGACCTCATCAAAGAGGAGCCGGTGGAAAATGGCAACTACTCCATGGAAGTCAGGGAGCGGAGCAGTCCTTATGAACTGTACCGCAACTACATGGCCAGCCCCTTCCCGGGAAACTGCTTCCAGCCCTCGCCCTTCTCGCAAATGGTTCGGTCATCCAGCAACTCTCCCCGGACTTCAGATGGGGATGACGGGCCAGTGAGCAAATCCTCAGACGGCGAGGATGAGCAGCGGGTCCCAAAAGGTCCTGTGCCTTCTGCTGCTGATCCGAAGAGTGTTATTATCTCCACGGTCAAGGTGCCAGACGCCATCTCTTCTGCCCTGCCCCACAAGCTTCGAATCAAAGCCAGGGCCATCCAGATCAAGGTGGAGGCCATTGATCCTGACTACGATTCCTTTGGGAAGCCATCCTCTCCTGTCGACATGTCGGCAAAGGGGTGTTATCCAGCGGGCAAACATACCTTGCCCAACTTCCTGCAGTCCTCCCTGAGTCCCTTGTCTCTCCAGGTGACAAATGTCCAAGATTGGGCACCCCGGGCTGACCACTGGCATAAAGACCATCCAGAGACACTTAAAAATGGCTGCAAGAACCGCCTCTGCACTAACTCACCTGGCCCCGTAACAGACAAACTTGCTGCCAATTTCAAAGACGCGGAGTCGAACTTGTATCTGAAACAGGGCATTGCTGACTTGTCAGCAGAGGTGGCGTCCCTGAAGCGGCTGATCACCGCGCAGCAGCAGTCTTCGGCGGGATCCATCAAAAGCACTACTGATTATGACTCACCATCAAAAGGATGTCACTCGAAATGAGCCCCTCGTGTTTGCACAACAGTTGTTTTCCCACTGCTTGTTATTGCACTGTACCTTTAACATGGTGTCAAACTCGACGCGGATTATTTAAATGAATATGTGCTGTGCGCTTATTGTTGTGGTGAGCGTGTCCTCTTGATTGGCCCCATCTGTACTCCAGCAAGTGTCAGGCCATCCTGGAAAATTCAGTGTAAACTTTTCTTCATTTTTTATTGTAAATCATCAAGTTTTTTTTTTCATTTACAGTAAATGTATGTAAGCACTGATTTTTTTTACTGTTTGGCATGTTAAGAATGGTTGTTTTTGTTCTTACATCACTTAAATGTGAAAGTAAACTCAAATGGTGTAACATGTGTGTGTTTAACTTGATATTTATACTAAGGCAGGAAATCTCCACTCGCTCTTGCAGACTCTTAAAGGCCCTATAATGAGCCATTACATTTGTCTTCATGTATGTTCAACAGCAACAAGAGGTAATCTTCACCTTACGTCACAGGTTACCTTGAAAAAACACTTCTGTGCCTCACTAGGTTGAGTTTAAATTCATTAAAATACGTCTCACGACAGGCATGTTGTAAATTATGACACCTCGTTGTTGGCGCCGCGTGATTCAGATACTGTGCGCAGTGTCACGTCACACTAGATGCACTCAACACAGTACACTTCAGTTCACTGTTGCTCAGAACATGACAGTGGAAAGGTGAGGCTTTCATTCAACATTAAACAAAAGTCTTCTCCTTTGGTATAACACTTTTATAAGCTAACAAAAAAGCGTCCGCTTAAATGGTTTCTGTATATTTAAGGAATGGTTCAGAAAATCTGAAGGAAAATCGTGATAATGTACCCCTCCACATTTTACTGCTAAATACAAGCTAAGAAATCTTCCTCATGTACTTTAAATACTGTAGCAATGAAAGACCTTTATTAGGAATACGGCATGTTATTTTTAGGATAATTTCATAGCATTGTATATTCATCTGGTCACTATATTTTACACTATATTGTTTTCTATATTGCATTAATTCCTTCTCACGCGTCTGATATTTTACCAGTTAACTCACTTTTAACTCACCATACTCAGGGAGCAGCATACTAGGTCACAATGTTAAATTAATATCGAAACTACTACCTATAACTATTAACTATAAAACTAGAGGTGAGCACACGTATACCCGAACGTAGCCTACTAAGTACAATATCCATAGAAACTGCTCGAGACACGCGCAGCGGCGTGCGCGAGGGGCGCCGCTTCGCTAGGAAGGGGGCTGGCTGTTGGTCACATGACCGCGGGATGCATCACGCGCGGTTCAAAGTTGAAAGTCAAAACAATCACGATTTGCGCTGCCGCAGCATGGCGACTCTGGCGTGCTGCAGAGGCGTCTCTCAGGTTTTCAGACCCGTGGTGGCCAAGTTTGGTGTTTGCAGCTTGCAGAAAGATGCCCGGGCCTTGCAGCATGTTATCCGGCCAGCCGAGTGGCAGTGTAGCCACGGACAGGCTCGTCGTTACAGTTCAGATGCCAAGTCGATGGATGACCTGAGCGTAAGGTATTTGGATGGAAGCGACTCAGGTAGCTAACTGTGCACGAATACATATGCTACTAAAGCGATCCGTGTTCAAACACAGCTGTTTTGCTGAGAAGTGCTCAGTTACGGCTATGTCCATTTGCAGCGTGAACTGGAAATATGGAAAAAAAAATGCATGATATTGCACGACATAAGCTGTTGTGTGGAGGCTGTTTAGCCACGGTATTATCTGCTCAGAACAAAATATTTTAGGCACCCGTGCAACTGGCAGCAAGAGTCTGTGTAATTTGACATGGTGTGCTAGTATGTACAATATCTCAGGCAATGACTACAAATTCATCCATACAGGGACACTTTATAGAACCATCAGTAAGCCGCTGTAGTTCTTACCGAAATCCACGCACGCAGCACCCATCACACTTTATTTAGGTTATGCAACTAGGGCAACTGCATGATCATCCAAAAAAAAATAAAAAGAAACTTTGTGAAGGTCAGTGGTGTAAACTTAATTTTCCTAGATTAATATTTATAAGTCTTGGAAATAGAATTAACTTTACATTTTCTACCATTGCTGTACAAAGTAGTTTGTAAACATTTATGAAAGCTTCGCTTAAGAACCTTACTGAACAAGTTAGGTGGGTTTTCTTTTATCTTCTTTGTGATGGTACAGTAGTGTTTTCCTAATCATGGAATTACTGAAACGGACTCAGGGTAGCAAGTTGTGTAATGTGAGTGAAATATTAATAGTGCAGCCGTTTTCTCCTATGTGACGTGATCGGCCAATGTCCTCAGACCGCCATGGCTCCCCTGATCCAATGGTGTGGTGTGTTGTGTTGTTGCAGGGATTGTGGTGTTTGGGCTGAATAGACCAAAGGCCAAAAATGCCATCAGCAGAAATCTTGTGAAAATGGTAAGGGATAGAGGGTGGCTGTGAAGATGCCATAATAAAAATTCTGTTACCAGAGGTGTGTCAGTCTCTCTCCTCTTTTTTTTTTGCTTTCAGATGTCCGAAGCTGTGGATGCGGTGAAAACGAATAATAAAGTACGGACTGTAATTGTGTGCAGTTTGGTGCCTGGAGTATTTTGTGCAGGTAAACTGTTCCCCATTAATATAACTAAAACAATTCCTACATTTTTTCCATTGAGTAAAAGCACTCGTGCACTCTGACCAATCTATTAGCTACTAGGGGTGGCACAACTTAAGCTTTTTTTTTTTTGACAGTTATTTCATGAAATTCGAGTCGACATTGACTAATTGCTGATGATGTCATTAATAAAAGTATAGGAGAAGGGGATGATTTGTAACAAGTGACATCTGTACAGGCAGTCCCCAGGTTACAAACAAGATCAGTTCCCTAAGTCAGTCTTTAAGTCGAATTCGTAGATAAGTTGGAAAAATAATTCCGTACATAATATCAATAACAATAATATAAGTAACCACTACTGTACTGTACCTCCAGCCAACGAACTGGTGAAGCCATACAGTGTTTTCATGAGCATAAGAAAATAAGAAATTTACAAATGAGAGGAGGCCTTTCGGCCCATCAAGCTCGTTTGGGGAGAAGTTAACTAATAGCTCAGAGTTAGAACATAAGAACATAAGAAATTTACAAAATAGAGGAGGCCATTCGGCCCATGAAGCTCGTTTGGGGAGAACTTAACTAATAGCTCCGAGTTGTTAAAATCTTATCTAGCTCTGATTTAAAGGAACCCAGAGTTTTAGCTTCTGCTACACTAGCAGGAAGACTATTCCATACTCTAACTACACGCTGTGTAAAGAAGTGCTTCCTCAAATTTGTTTTAAAATGTTCTCCCGCTAATTTCCACTTATGGCCACGAGTTCTAGTATTTAAACTAATATTGAAATAGCCATTTGGCTGAACAGCATCCAGACCCATTAGAATCTTATAGACCTGGATCGTGTCCCCCCTTAGTCTCCTTTGCTCAAGGCTAAACAGATTCAGCTCAGCTAACCTCTCCTCATAAGACATTCCTCTAAGACCAGGAATCATTCTCGTAGCATCACAAAGTAGCACATGCAATCGTTTACGAACCATTGTATTCAACCTGGATTTTTAATATAATAGACTTTATGGCAGTCTGTTCGTAAATACGAGTTGTAAGTCAGATGTTTTGAACCTGGTGAATGTCTGTATTGAAGCGATACATTTAATGTCATTAATTTCATTTTCTGTGGCAGAAATATGAAGGCACAAATAAAAAGGTATTCAAATACATTAAATGTAATTGAGGTGCAAAAATAATTCCATCTGCTTTTTGCTGCAATATTTCTGTTTAATAATCAGTCATTGCTAGTGCCAGGCGTGGTAGTTTTAGCCACCACTTTGGGTTTTTCCACCTATTACAGGGTTTAGAGTTTATACAGAATGGGACACTAAGCAAAAACCATCCAGTCAGTGGTGGCTCTGTGGGCGAGGTAACTTGTTAATGCAAGAGGTTAGGGGGGAATGGGCAGATTCATTAAAGCTAATGGGAAGGTCAAGGGTGCAAAGATAACAGAAAAGCTCCTGTGAATGCACAGCTTGTTGACCTTTGAAGAAGTTCCGGGGTCAAAGGGGATCCTACCTACTACATAGGTGAAGTCACCCCTTAGTGTATGCTATGTATGTTTTGAATAATTATAGTAGTATAATTATGCAGAGAGTGCTGCTTAAGTAGGTTTTATGTAAAAGTGTGTTCTATGATAATACTACATGTTATACTGATAGTCAGGGTTAAAATAAATGATGGGATTGTTAATAGTTGAGGTTGTAGAGGTTAAAATCCTGAATACAAAACTGGGATCAGTGACTTAAGTCATCAGACACCGTAGGCTCTGGGTTTCAGTCTGCCTGAGCTCTCCTGCTGCTGTCCTGGCTGTAAAATTCTCTGCAGTCATGCAGTCTTAAGTAACCCAGAATTACATCATATCTTATCTGTTTTTTTCCTGCCTAAGCTGTATTACTATTACCTTATGTACAGAAGGGGGAGAAACACATGAGCCCAGTGGTGACCAAACCCATTTTCCCTAGAACTTGCTTGAATGAATGCCAATACTTACTAGTAACTACCTTTCTGAAAGCCAAATTGTATAGGAAATAACTGTCATAAGGCACTTCCACACCGAAGTTCCCGGAACCTGCTCCCAGTTTACAGGTTCCTGGGTTGTTCTGACCTGGAACTTTTGTAGCTCGCTTTCACAACACACAACAGGAACTGGGACCTTTATGTTAAATAAACATGGGAGATCCTAAAAGTTTGTACGTTAAATTTCAAACATGGTTTTATATGAAACCATAGGCCTGCCACCATGCCAAATTAACGAAGGGTAAATAAGCATTTTGTTAGTTATTGGGAGGATCGATTGCAATCAAAACAGGACACAGCCTTTTATTTATATTTTGCTTAAGCCTATATGACTCAATGTTCATGATTCTTATTAAATCTGGCAAGCAGATCGATTTCTTTCCATAGAATAACAAACGATGACTGTGGGCGCGGCAATATTTGACAAAATATTGATCACATTTTCCGATGCAAAAATACGAAGACGCAAGCAAAAAATATATTAGTTGATGCATTAAATGTAATTGAGGTACAAAAGTAATCCCATCTGCTGCATTTTTGCTCCACTACATCTCTCTCTCTGCATTTCCATGTAACTTCCAAGTTAGTGCTGGTGCTTGTGGTCAACCAGTGAGCAAGCTAATCGCTGTAACTGCCTCCACTGTAGTGCGTGTTCGAATGGAGAGTACCTAGTCTGGTGTAGGTACTCAAAAAAGGGTTCAGGAACTGCATCCAAGGAACTACAATTGGCCAGAGTTCCTGC